CCTCAGCATTAAGGTTAAGCTTATCAATCGGTTTCCTTACCCCATTTTGCAGTCTTGTGGTCATGATATGAGATGGGTAAGAAGACTGTGGTGTGGGATTAGTGAGAGCAGGGGATGTGATTTGTTGAGTTGAGAGTGATGTATGGTCACTTGACAGAAGAGGAGCTATTGTAGAGTGGGCAGCGGAAGTAGCCATGGTATTAGTTGTATCACTAGATGATGTTGAAGAAGAGTTGTAAAGAGTGTTAGTGGGAGTAGGTGGATTTTGAGTAGTGGAATTAGGAGCAGCAGATGAGTTTGGAGGAGAATTAGAATTAGAAGTAAGAAGTGAATTTGGAGGATTAAGTGGCACTTGCAGCTGTGTAGGTGGCATATAAATAGGAATTGAGATAGGACACCACTCTTCTATTAGTGTGGGTAAAAAGGAAAATAGGTTTTCAAGATCAGAAAATGGGAATTTTTTTTCCACAAAATGAACATGTCGAGATGTGTAGATTTTGTTAGTTGTAGGATCAAGACAGTAATAGGCACTTTGAGTAGAGGAGTATCCAACAAATACACATATGGAGTAGATTTTGGGTCTAATTTATGCTTAGTGTAGGGTTTCAACCAATGATAACATAGACAACCAAAGCTTCGTAATTTGTTGTAATTAGGTTGTTTTCCAAACAATTTTGAGAAAGGAGACGCATTTTTCAAGGTGGGAGTAGGAAGGCGATTTATCAAGAATATTCTAGTGGCATAGATGTATGATATAATGGATAGGAATGTCTCAACAATATGTCGATGACGTCTCTAAGAAAATTCGTTGTGTTGAGGAGTGTGTGGAGGAGTAGAACGTAAGTCTAGATAAGTTGTCAATGGCTAAATAACCCTGTAAAGATTCATATTCACCCCCACTATCAGAGTATAGAGTAATAAGAGGGAGTTGAAAGAATTTCTCAACTAAGGCTTTGAATCGAATAAATATATTTTTGGTGTCTGAATTTTGTTTTTAGGGGAAATTAGCCACAATGACACCACCAATTAACGAGGTGCGTAGAATAGCATCACCTATTCGTTAAATACTCTATAGCACAACCTATTGTCTTGGGTTTATTAAATGACATTATTGACATCGGAGATTCCATCGGAAAAATAAAAATTTGCTTTTTAAAAAAATTTCTCTCTTTATATATTTTTTTTTTTACAACCTCACATAACTTTCTTTATTTTAATATACCCACTTATGAACTTAGCTCAAAAATGAAAATTCTTTTAAAAAAATGAAAATTAATGGATTAGATAATGAAAGTATGATAAGTAGGGTGTTTTACGCAATTTTACTTTGCTATATGTACTGCAATCATGGAATTACAAAAAGAACTATATTTTGGTAGTACTTGTATTGAAAAGATGTCAAAGCACATCCAACTAACTACATTCCTAGCAATTAAGATCATCTTAACACACACAAGCAACAAACAAGAAGGAAATTTAATTCAACAGTAATCAAACGTAAAAAAAAATGCCCTAAATTTAACAACTAAGATCATCAACGGTTATACCAAAATAGTACTCTAACTTTACGTAAAAGACCAATTACCAAAGTTTATTGAAGAAACTTACAAAATTTTGCAACAAAGCTGTAAAATTGCAAATGCTGGTGAAATTTGTGCTTTTGTGTTATTAACAATGATGATTCATGGTTGAAAGAATGTGTAAGGTGGAAAAGTTCAAGTGGAGTATAGTGAAACAAAGAAAGAATACCAAAAAGTCACATGGAGTATAATTTTTTTTTTTTATAAAGAGTTAAATTTTTAAAAAAGAGAGAAATAAAAAAAATTATAAAAATAAAAAAAAAAAAAAAACAAATTTTTAGTTTTCCTGGCAATGGGATGCCAGTAAAAAGGGGGATTGCCGGGCTGGCAATGGGGGGAAGGGGGAGGGGTGAGCTACTTTGTTAGTAAAAAAAAAAAATTATTATTAAAAATTTAAAAACTAACCATAGTTAATGATTTTAATTAAAATGACTATTATCTTTGGTAATCAATAATATAATGTAACCAAAGATAATAGACTTTTTTACAATTCTTCTATACATCAACATATAATTAATATACAAAGATTTTAAAAATCTTGGCTTTATCCTTTAGTGCGGGATCATTAATATCGATTAATTAGGTCATTGATTGTGTAATACACGTAACTATATATACTATTTTAGATAATTTGTTAATTATTAAATACTTTTATGTAAATTGTTATTTCATAAATAGTTTTCATGTAATTTTTCCGTCAAATATATACGAAATGAGCAAATAAACATCTATCTTTGCTAGTGTCCAAAATTTAATTCAACCATAAACATTTTTCAGTGTTGTGATGTATAACCAGAATTTGATGTCTAGTGGTATAGAGTATTCTTATGAATTACGCAAGTAAAATTGGCCTAATCATCGGTTTTGAAAAAATTTCGTAAAAGGTTTGATTACTGTATCGAATCCGTCCACTTCATCTTCGTGTCACACTCCAAAAAAAAAAAAGGAGTATGACATATAACACCTTAGCAATAAAAAATTAATAATAAAACAACTTATAAAAGCTATAAATGAAGTTAGAAGTAAAATCTCAATAAAACAAATGATCATATTCTCCTTTTAATTAATCACAATTGCAAATCAATCTATGGACGTATCTATCTTTTTATGATCATTTGCGTTGACAACAAGGTCATCAAAGATTTTGTAAAGAGTCGGAACGTATTTTACAGTCCAATGAACTATTATAAGAGGTTCGTAAACCCAGAGATGGCGTTTTTTTATGAAACAAATGAATGAATCGAGACAGTTGATAATTTATTAGTGCAAATTTCTCTTTCTGTACGGGTCTTCAATGGAAGCCACGATTGACTGTGTAGGGATAAGTTAAAGGTAGTTGTTCTCAAAACTGATTTTTCAATTGGTAGTTTTTGGTAAAATTTCCTTGATATTACCAACTACAATGTCATACATTTTTTTTAAAAAAAATAAAATATTTATTATCAACATGTCTAAAATTAAAGCAATATCAACAAACTCTAAGCCACAATCGCTTGTACAGATACATTTAAATAGCGGAATCATAAATTTTTGACAAGAACAAATATATCTTCTCAAATAATTTATATATTCATATTTATCAAAAAAATAATAATAATAATAATTAGCCAATGCTTGTTGCTTAAAATATAATAATAATAATAATAATAATATATCATTAACAAACTAAAAATTCTCAGTTGTCAAGGGTGTTGTAGATATGATAAAATTCCATTGGAGATTTGATTTTGTTCAATTATAATTTTTAGATAAGTTTTGTATTAATGCAATATCCCTAGTATGTTGTTTTTTTTCATTTTTATTATCTAACATTTTATAGTATTATTGTTTGTTTTACTAAACATTATTTTTTGTATTTAATTTTGTTTTTTTCTTACAAGATGTGGTTATATGGTTGTAAATGAAGTTGGAGATTCATTTGAAATAGAAGACAAACATTACTTTTGTATATTTGTATATATTATTATCAATCACGATAGACTTAGATTTATTATTAAAAATAACTTATATTTTATTAGACTTAGATTTATTATTAAAAATTATTTATATTTAGATATCATGATTAGGGGACAACGAATCCAATTGAAGCTTTGAAAAATGTTTTTCTTTAAATGTCGTGCATTGCACGAGATTCACACCTAATTTGTAACTAATAGTTAAGTTTATAGAAAAGTCAAAAGTGGGACATATAATAATTGACTAGCTTTCTGATTTTTTTTTTAATTTAAATTTAGTCATTTGTATATGCAAAATATAGTGCATTATTGTTAATTTTTTATTATTATTATTATTATTATTATTATTATTATTATTATTATCTCAAAAACAGACAAAGTCATACAACCTACAATAAATTAGTGGGAAGCCGAGATACAATTTGGGCCCCCACTCCTCTAGTTATAGCAAATCCTATCTTAGTGAAGATATGAGCAGCAGCACGTGCCCCAATGTCTTGCGTCGTCAAGAATTCCTGAACCCGCTTTAGCAATGCAATAGCCGGCCTCCTTCTCTAATTCCCAAGTGATGAAGAAAATGAAAAGGGAATAAAACCATATCCAATCACCTGACAACTAGCTTCATACTAAACCTGCTTCCAATGAGCCGCATCAGCCATAACTCGTCCAGGAACAAAGTCAGATAGCCCAGAATGTGTCAAAGGAGAAGACCCTGTCAAATCAACACAAACATCTATCGCGACCACGATCCCAGGAATAAAAAAACACATCTGCAAGACTGAGGGCCCCGTCGTTCCTTCTAGATAACCCAATGTCAACCTCCTTTCTTGCTGAAATCCGAAAACGATAGTAAACATCAACAAGGATATGGTTATTATTATTATTATTATTTGACCCAAAAATAGGAATCAAACAGATGGAAAAACAATGTGACTAAAAAAGAGTAATTTTTTTTTTTTGGCAAGAAAAAAAAAAGTGCATTGTTGTTGCTATAGTTAATAATAAAATTAATTAACAGCTGACAAGGTGCATATCCTCGCAACCATGACTAACTATAGTTTATCTTCTTTTAATAAATGTGGCGTAATTCATGTAAAAAAAAATGAAAATTAATTACAAAAACAAAATAATGTATGCATAAAGAATTATTTAAAACACCGTATACTTGCAAATTAATATAAGAATGATAAAGAACAAACATATGTGTGTTTAAAACCAAAATATAGCAGTGTGCATTTTAAAATGTAATGCATCATGCATACATAGGATGGGCCTCATTTACATAGAATACAAATCATATCAAAACTAAAAGAAAGGAATGCATATGCATGTTTTACATTTAATCCAAAAGAATTATGCTAAGCTAATTAGTGTGTATTTGGAAATTAAAGTAAAATCTAACTAGACTATTGCATTAACTAAACAAAAACTTGATCAACAATAAAGATTAAAAGTTGTTGTTGTCTTAGAATTTGTCCTCCAATAATATCTTTTTTAATTCTTCAGGCTTACAAGGTACAACCAATGCACCTTCTTGTTGAAAACCATACTCTTCTTCAGCTTCTTTTAACAACTTCAAAAGTGTAGGGTTTCTTAAAAACCTTAACTCCACCACAAACTTCCTCAGCTCGGCCTCCTCGTCATCACCCTTCCCTGCTAACACCGCGAAATGCCCTTTTGGTGGCAATGCCGCCTTTTGGCCTAGGATCTCCACCAACTCTTCGTTACTAGGGATCGTTCGAATTGGTTGCAATTGTAACACTTTCATGCACCACCTTAGCTTCTTTACAAACTTCTTAAGCTTCATTAGACTCATCATTTTTCCTACCATATATTTTTGGATTGACTTGCTTGTTTTTCTTGGTTATAGGATTGGATTTTTTGTTGTTTTTTAAATAATGTGTATTTTGTTTTTGGTGTTTGGGATTCTTGTTAAGGGTTATATATATAACGAGGTATGATAGAGAAGTGCAAGAAAATGAAGGTTCTATGAAAGTGATGTGGGATCATTGTATATGGACTATAATAATTTATTATAAATAAAATAATAATATAAGTTTAATTAAAATTTGCATTAATTGCAAAAACATTTGTTAGTCAGATGTTTTCCTGAGTCTTACAAAGTAGGGTCTTAAAAATACGCGGTCTACAGTTGCTCATGTCTTACCTCACCGCTCTTAACTTGCTGGCTACACTAGTGTTCTTCTGTAGGGCGGTTTGAATATTATTTTATTTTTATTTTTATTTTTTTGGTATTCGACTTGTTTGAAATTGTTTTATTTTTTTGAAAGAATTTAAAAATGTCGTTTTTTTTTTTTTAATTATGATACTGTCATTACTAAATGCTAATGCACGTTTTTCGCCTAAGAACGAAAATTATCATTTCGGTAATTATTTAATCATTTGTTTATCTACAGATTCTTTATAATTAGCTAATGATATCATTAGGAAAAACGAGAAACTTATAAAGCGTGATTTACTGAATTGAAAAGGTGGACTTTTATTTTAGAATGACATTTAAGTTATACTTGTATATTTAGTTCACCTTATTTTTCAGATTTATGGTCTTATTTAACGTTGGCATGAGACTTAGTTGACCTCTAATTATACCAGTTGATAACAATATATAAGTCTGTAAGTCATAAGATGTTCCATAAGTTATATATGCATGCAAATATGCAATGAACTCTATTTCTTCGTTATTAAAAAGCCTTATTCTGTTACTACTTAGCCTACATTTTTTTTTTTTTAATTTTATATGGGGTCAGAACTCAAGGTGAAACAGATTAAATTTATAGGATACGTACATTTCATACAACTTTTTTAATATCTTGAATTTTAAAATATAGATATAAGTTTTTGGACAAATTCTTGTCAATAAATAAAATAAAAAATTGGACATTCATATAAGTTTTGAAAATTTCAAGAGTTATTGAACATATTATCATGTATAAGTTTTGCGTTGGCGAATTCACATCGAAATAGACTCACTCAATACTTTGTGAAATCAATGAATGCTACAGTACTAAACATGTGTTTGATTAAAACATTTGTACTGCTTGTGTTTGTTCATCTCATCCTATCTAAACCGCCCAATGTTAAGTTAAGTCAATAAGACAACAAGTCATGAGAATATGATACTCCGTACATGAAATCTATACTCCGTATAACATGCAGCAGCATAAACGTACTCCGTACAAGAGTAGCTCAACTTCTTTTTCAGATTTCATGGTCTTATTGAACGTCGGCAAACAATTAAGTTTTACATTTTTGCCTGGTTTGTATAAGACTATAAGTTGGATTGATATGTCTTGAAGAATAAGTGGACAAATTTATGTGTAGTTCCAGAGCAAAAGTTGCTACTCACTGTAGTCTTTGACATGTTTTGTTTTTTGAATTATAATGAAAACGAACTTGTTTTTATATTTTAATCAATAGAGAATGCTTTTTATTACCTATTTGTTCAGTTTTTTTACTACCTCTTTTTCACATTTTTTGCAACTTTGGATCCGTTTCACATTTTTTGTAACTTTGGAGTCGACACGGACTCCTAGGCAAAAAATGATAAATGGAGATTAAGTAAAGAGAAGGCATGTGATTAAGAAGTAGGAGAGAGAATGGGGTCCCTATTTGTTGAATGGGATTTTATAAATTCTGCCAACTTTTTGGAAGATAAAAAGTTTCCCTCCAAAAGTTTTGTACTGAAATTTTCACCCAAAAATTAAAGGAATCGCCAAACAATTTTTTTTCACAGCCGAGTTTAAATTCCACCTTCAATGTGTAGCGGATGTTTTTGGCAAAAGTTGCAAAAAATGTGAAACGGAGGTATTAGCTATTTTTATGAAGTTAAGAATGGCCAACTTAATGAATGGTTGTAGTATGATTTGCTTTAGTTGTGCTCTACTATTCTCCGTTTAAGTTGATGAATTTCAAGTGATGAGTATAATAAGCAGTTCAAGGATTGCAACATATCTTTTTGAGATGAATTTGAGCTAGAATGAAGCAAAACATTAGCAAAAGAGCTAGAATTGATAAAACTGACTCATGTTCACTTTTTTCCTCATAACTTTTGATCTTCAAATGATAATGGAGTGATTTAAATTTCGTTGGAAATAAACTTAAAGAGATTTCCAACAATAGGTCACATGCCAAATTTTTAACAAGCAACAATAGAAAGTTATGATGTTTTGAAGACAAGTTAATTGTTTGTGATATGATGCTCGATTAGACAAGATTGCTCGGTTTGACCGAATGAAGCTTGTTTCAGATCTAGTCTTAACTTTATTTGTAAAGAAGATTTCAAGGTTAGGTTTGTGCCTGACAAAGGCGAGATCGCCTAGTAAGGTAGGCCGAAGCTTCGCACAAGGCTCCAAATCTTATGTTTTTCAAGATTTTTATCATTTGCTTATAAGTACTCCTTGTAAAAGCACTTATAAAACATCCTTTGATAAATGCAAACTAATTGGCCTCAATACTCTGAAATATAGGTTGGGTGCACCCAGCACCATGTACTAGTAGTCAAAACACCACTAAGCTAACTAATGACGTAGGTGCAAAGCGTGTCTTTAATGAACATTCCAACCACTAACTCCACCATAGCCGGTTAATGTTTTATTTTATTTAGTCCTTTTGTAAAAAATTTTAACCCTAACCTAAATCTCAACCACTGACTCTCTCTCTCTTTTCTTTTCTCCTTTTTCTTTTCATTTGTTCCTTCTCTCACTTTATTTAACCAAGCTTCCCAATTCTTCCACAATTGAAAACCCTAAAAATTTTCGAATTCAGTTTTTTCCCCTATTGAACCATGAGCTCAACATCATTGTTATCGTTTAAAATTAAATCAAATTCAAGTGGTACCTATGCCAGGTTGTATTGTGGACATCGATTACCTACTATAGTTTGTACAGCGTGGAAGTTCAATGAAAACCAAGGAAAATGTTTCAATGGGTGGTTTTTACTCCCCCTGTCCCTCTTTTTTACCCCATTTGAATTTTCATGATATTCAAGACGCGCATCTTAGATAACTCCATCTTTGTACACATAAAATTATGGAAAGTTGATATTAGTATACAATGAGACGAAGCCAATTAGAACGAACCCACTTGGCTATATTATCTCTTATATATTAATGGGAATTTATGGTCAAAATTTTAAATTTTGACCTAATTATTTGGGGCATAAAAAAGGAATAGAGGAAGTATTATTTTTATTAGGTGTGCAACCGTCTATCAATATACGGAGTAATAACTACAATCAGACATAGAATAGAACTTGCACAAAGAAGCTACGTTAACCATTACACGAGAAGTTCAATTAACGAAAGACTTCTTCGAAGCTTGGCAAGTGTTGAAGAAACCATACGTAGTACTTCGTATAAGTTATGTCATGATGGAATTGAATATCATACTGTATTAATTTTATGATGGTTTAACTCGTTTAAGTCAACAATTCGTTGTAAATCATCATTATATAGAAGTAGTATATATCTAAAATATAAGTATAAGCATAATCTAGTGTTGTTGAGGATTCTGATGAATAATAATGATAATGATAGTCTAAAGTATGTGTGTACACATTATTCTGGTATTGACGTGGAGATTAGAGGGAAGAATTTTATGGGTTGGCTTGGATAGTTTGACTTTGACTAGTATTTATAAAATATTTATGGGCACTAATTAATAACACCTTCATAGTTGTAACCTCTAACAAGTACTCCTACTTTATTGAGTTCATAATAAGTGCCAGATGGGAACGCGTACGGCGTATGGTGTACGGATAAAGGACAGTTGCTGATGCAGAGTTTTTTTGGGAAAGGGGTGTCTTACTGTCCTAGTGGCTGGTGCAGGCTATGTAATGTACGTGAGTACACTTACGTGAATTTGCTTATTTCATACTCTCCATATGAAGTACAAGTAAATGATTAGGTTTAGCACTGTCAAAATGGTTAGAAAGTTAGGTTTGAAACCGATTCAGTTTGAACGAGTTTAATTGGCCTACTAAAATTATTATCAATCCGGTTCGGCTCTGGTTTATTTTTAATTGGTTTTTATTCAATTCAGCTCGTAAACGGTTTGGATAGTAAACAGTTTGGATTATTAACGGGTTGGTTTGAAAAGGGTCAGTTTAAGAACGGTTTTAAAACGGGGTTCGGGTTCACATCAGTTAGGATCGTAAACATTTCGAATAATAAACAATTCGAATCATAATTGGATTGGTTTGAAACGGGTCGGTTTCGGAGCGAGTTTACTCAGGTTAATACGGGTTCGTGTTCAAATCGGATTGGGTCGTAAACGGTTCAGGTCATATGCGTAAAATAAATTAACAGCGAAATAATTACTAACTTAACCGATACTCTTGTAATAATGTAATATGTAGTAAACATGTGTGCATAATTAGATTTCATTTAAAAAAATTCCTTTTAACATGATTTTAATCTTCCCTTTATAGTTCATATGTTTAGATTACAATAACAAGATTTATTCTACTGAGGTTACTAATTTATTAGGAAAAATTGCCTAGAATAATCTGAACTTTGGCTCATTCGCCCAAAATAATCCCAACTTTGGAAACATTAATGTGAGTATTCTCTCAATGGTCCCAAGTGACCTGTAGCCGATTGAATAAGTAAATTTTTATTTTTTTTTATTTTAAAAGTTTAACTTACAGGTATCACCACGTGATTGGTCAAAAAATACTAATTAACACTTAAGAAAAGATTTTTAGTTACTAATCAGCACTTAACTAACTAAATAAAACTAATTATTTTAAAAATAATTTTAAATAAAAAAATAAAACCCACCACCGCTAGCCACCCTCCCCGGCCCCCTAACA